GAGGGTCTCTCTGGGTCTGCAACACCTCTACATTTCAACACAGACCTTTCCCCTTTCTTCTGGAGTTATTTGGTAGGTTATTTGGCCATTTGGTGTACCTTCAGTCGGTAAAGAACAATAACAATGACTTACCTGGATCCTGCTGCCTTAAAACTCTATTTTTACTTGATGGTATAACAGAAGACTGAAGGAATTGTTCAATTTGGGAACACTTCTGCAAGAAACACTCAACATGCTTTACTCTTTTCCTTTGAATAGGAGAGTTGCCATCATAAAAAGCCTTGGCCAGTCTTCGACTGCTGCTCCCAGTCACAGTAATCAGCACCAGAGCCCCGCACTAAACGGCGATGCTGGCTTGTGTCACTGTTTTGTCTGCTGGCTGGGAGTGTTTTCAAAGTACAGAAATAATACAAAAAAAAAAAAAAAAAGAAGTAACTAAAGATGTGATTTAACAAGCTTTTCAGAGTGCTGGGGCATCATGCACAAAACCAAGGAACCACAGTATTGATTCTGTGCGCGTTATAAAACCCAGCGAAGGAATCAAGGAGCAGAGCAGTGCAAGCAGAAAGCAAGCAATTTAGGAGAGGTGCTGTAAGGGGGATTTCATTATCTGCACAGAATATAGCAAGTCCCTTGGAGCACTGGTGGTGCAGCGTTTCCCTGCCCTGGGCAGTCGGACTCAAAGTGCTGCCTAACGAGGGCATCTTGTGCCTCGGGCACTGCCTGATGCTGGGGGACCGCGTGGGAGCTGGGATTAGGACACCGGCACTGCTAAATCCTGCGCAGAGGAGGTGAGGGGGGGATGAAACAAGTGTTCAAAATGCAGCAGCCAGAGCTCCCACCTCTCTGTGCAGTGAGGTTCAAGCCTGGATCAGAACAAGGGGTTTTTTCCATATATTCTAAAAACATCCTCCTGGTCTTTTCCAAGTGTGGGCACTCGGAGCCTTTTCCTGGTGGCATTTTAGGTTTATTGTAATTTTGAGCTTGTTGTCAACCATCTGAAAGTGTCCCACTATCCATAAGATAAAGGCGATGACCATCCATAAGAAAAAGGCAGTGGGTATGTCGCTTCTCAGGCCAAAACAAGACTATGCGTTACTGCCCATAGCGGCAGGGCAGAATTACCCATCCCGTGCATAAGGATCTTCTGGCTTTCTGTGATTATCTCAGTTCAGAGCCTTTTCAAACAGATTAATCTTCACGGTACCCCAATACCACATGTTGTTCTGATATTCATAGACAGGGAGGCTGAGACAGAGACATGAACCGCCTTTAGCAAGTCACAGCATGAGTCCTCGTTGATGAACTTAAAAAAAAATTAAATTAAATGAAATAAGTCAAATGCTACAAATCCCAACTCTGTCTGCATTTTAACTGCCTCAAATTACTCTTACCTCTTTTGACAATTATTCTGCAAGCATTCATTTGAAAAGGTTCTTAATAAGTCTGATTTTGCTTAGGCACAGAAAACCTAAAGACAGTTTGGAAAAATGACTAACGTACTGTGCATACTCATGGGAACTATCACAGTGGTTTTTTAAGTGTTGTCAGGGAGCACAACTTGAAACTCTGCTCATTTCCAGTTGACCTGTAACTGGAAAAGCCTGGATGAGTGTAAGGGGATTCACAGAAGACCAATATTCCCAATTAAAGAACTATAGAGAGAACTGCATTAAGAGCTCAGAAGAAATACACAGGTAAACTTAAGTGTTTGAAGTGTTTAAAAGCCAAGGTGAGAGAGAAAGGAATTCCTGCAGTATGAGAAGGTGGTCTGTTAGGAAAGGTGGTTTGGAAGCAATGAAAGGTAAGGTGGAAATGTCCCAGTGGGGAGTGGTAATACTTGACCAGTGCAGGGGATCTCTGAGGTGTGGACTAGAGGGTTATGCCAAGGTAATAATCAGAGGCAAAGAAGGGTTTCTGAGTTCAGCTGATCCTGGTGGAAAGCAAAAACAGTACTTTGGCCGAGCATCTCATCTTTCCCATCTCTTCCCTGCAGTGCACGCCCAGAAGCAGAACAGACAGACCTGTGTACGGAAGAGCCTTATCTGCGCATTTGCCATGGCCTTTATTATAAGCGTGATGTTGATTGCAGCCAACCAGATCCTGCGGAGCGGCATGGAGTAGCCTCTCGCCATGACACTGTGAACCAAACTGACCATGCATGCGCATGCCACCGGGTGAGCTTCCCCCGAACCGACTCTCACACGGCAAAGAGACAGAGGCAGGCAGATAAAGCACCATTCGACAAGGAGCCTGAGGCCAGCAGCGTAATGTGTCTTGTGAATCAACTACATCCTTTTGGCAGGGACATAAAAGGGCTGTCTTAATGCTTTAAAGGTTTTGTTTCCTAATGCAATAAAAAAAAATAAATATACAGGACTCCCGAATTATTGCTTCAAAACAGCAATGGTAACTTGGAAGAAACTTTCATCCAGCAGCCTGTTTTGCAGTTTTAAGGAGGCACAGCCTCGTGACTTATTGCAGCGGGGCTGCCTTTTAACCTAGGGGCCGACTGACTATTCCACGTAGCTCTCCGCTGGGCCCACCTTCCCAGGAAGTTGATCGTAGCATTGTCACAAGCAAGTCCTGTTCGTTTTATTTCATGTACTCCACCTTCACTTTGTTTTTCCCTTATGACCATGCCTTTGAGTTTACGGCATTAGAGGGGAGCTAGAGCATCCTTGTACAGTATTTTCAGAATAAAAAAGAAGAGAATTTGCCAGCATCATACAAAACTTCTATTTTTGCTTCATAAACGTCGCCTTTGACACAAGACTAGGTAGCGTGACACAAGGTAGCGTGAGTCTGTTTGCCTTTTTTTTTTCCGACCGTGAATCAGGGCTTGAGAAGCACCATTCGTTTTCACACGTGGGCATTCCAGAAATTTGTGCACAGTCTTCCAACTGACTCTGCAACCACCAGCGCCAGTTAAAACTCCCTCTATTTGGTCCCATCTGCATATTCAACAGCATTTGCTTTCCAGCCGTTTTGCCCTTCTTCTATATTGGTCTTCAATAACCTTCTCCAAGATGAAAATCATGAGGAAAGCTCAGAAAGAGCTTTCCTCCCCTCTCCTTGCCTGCTCAATTTTTATTTCTTTCATTTCATATGCCCTGGTTGTAATCTGCAGTGAAACCTTCACGTCAGTCACCTTCTCGTGGGAGAGGTTATGTTTTTGCCAACATGGCAGCGTGTGGTTTTGACCAGCCAGCTGCTCCGGTCCCCCACAGGAGCCGTCCCACCACCACCGCCACCATCATCCCATTGCCAGGCTCCAAAGAGGGTAAGCTGAAAAGCAGACTGCAGCAAGAGAAGAAGGAATAAAACTAGGGCATACTGCCATATGTTACGTAGTGTGCCAGACTTTCAGATCCTGCAAGTGTTAGGTATTTTTCCTGGAAGAGATTTTAACGTGCTGCAAGGAGAAGATGGAGCGATGCAGACTAGAGACACAACACGTCCTGCAGAAAACGCAAGGACTGGGCGAGCCTGGAGCCAGGATTACATCTGAAAGTGGGTTTCCTTTTAAACTTGACACAAATCCTTGCATTTACCTTCAGATGAACTGCGCACCTGTGTGTCACCCCGGGAGAGATATGGTTTCCTTGCTCTCGTGGGAGACGTTTCCCGGCCAGTGCTCACGGAGACGGCACAGGGAGCACTGCCAGGGATGTCCATGGAAAGCAACCAGGCATTGGAGTTGCAGTGGCTTCATCCTCCAGCGGGCAAGCTCCAGAAACACCAAGGAACAGCGAGATCTTGCTCCTGCAAATGCAGATGACTGTTTCCCGTGTCACGAGAGGGGGCAGGATGGCTCCCTGAGGGGTTGCAAACCATGAGCTTCCCTCGTCCCACACAGCAGCCATCGGCTTAAGCCTGCATCCCTCCCAAAGACTCATTTCAGGGCTTTCTTTGATTATAAGTTCAATCAATAACATTTGACCTGTGTTTTTAGTGGCCTGGATTGAAAATTTGCTTCTTATCGTTCCGTCTCCCATCGCCCCTTTAGACTTAAGTCACCACTTTGGATTTTGCCTTTAGGTGTGTGTCTCAGTCGCCCACCTCCACATCATTGCCATTTTCCTGGTGCCCCCGCTCCATCACCGAAGATGACCGCTGCCTTTTCCAGAGCAGCTGAGTTATTGTTTTCTGCCTTTCACAAACACACGTTTCTGTTTTTCTGTTCTGCTGTGACTAATAGAGGTCAACTGCAAAATATTCTGCAAAAATTGTTACGCCTCCCAGAAGACGGAGAGATTTATGTTTGCTATAGGGCAGCAGCAGACTTCAAACCAACAGCGGAAAATCTTAGGCAAGCTCTGATCATGGGATTTGCACTGCTAGGGAGCCAAGGCACGCTCCCAGTGCTCGCTGTGCTGGACATTGCAGATAACGAGCTTTGAGATCATTTTGAGGGAACTATCATCCACACTGTTAGGTCTCAGGGGCATGTGAAAAGGTAGCAGCAGCAGAAAAAAAGTCTAAATATTACTTGCCACTGAGTAATACTTATTAAGATTATTTCCCCCCCTCCTCCCCTAGGACTGTGCTGGAGTGAACGTGGGCAGCAGGGGCAGATGGAGATGGAGCGGAGAGGTGGGCACCGATCCACCAGCCGCACTCAGCGACAGCAGAAACACGGGCCAGAGTGGTGCCTCTTCACTGAGCCCACAAACACAAGCTAAAACACATAGACCAGGCATTTCTCCACGTTATTCTCACTCATCTGACAGCTAATACTGGGCAGACTCCAATTATAGCTGCTACCTTACAGACAAGACGATTTTTTGCATTCCTTTAAGCTTTCTGGAAGGCTCCATAATTTCTACATGCATGTTCCATAAAAGCCTTTGTAAATACAGTCATTTTTCAGTATTCTTCACCTTGAAGCTCCATCTGTAAAACCAAACCTATAATTAATATATCGGTAAAAGCCATAGCCTGGTGTCAGTAGAGTTCATTGCAAAACTCCCCACTGATTTTACTGGGTACAGGATTTGGGGGGGGTTGGGGTTTGCTTTTTCTGTAGGGAACTCAATTTATCCATTATGAATCGTGTCATGTCTTGCCAGAGGTCTCCCTTTCCTTCCTAGAGCAGCCTTTTTCCACCTAAAGGCGTCTTGAAGAGATCCCTGCTTTAATCAGTCAGGCTCCTCTGGTGGCAATGCAGAATGGATCAGGCCAAACCATTTCACCCTTTCCTCTCCTCACAACCTTTCTACCAACACCTTCCCATCCTTCCTAGCCAGCAGCATTGGACCTGTGTCTCTTACCTACCTCCCTGGCTCCATTTATGTAACATCCATTTCTCTTTTTTTTTTTCTTCTACACAAGAAGGAAAAAAAAAAATGGGCTTTTTGTTGCTTTTACAGACAGTAGGTAAAAATAGAGCAGTAAAATTTTGATTGGAACCTGATGGCAAAAGCTTAGGGGGAAGAAAGTAAAAGAATCAAAGAAATAAAAATAAAAAAACCCACATCCCATACTTTAAGGAAAAAAAACCCCTTTAAGTGCTAATTAACATACTTTAAAAAATACCCAGACTGCAGCAGTGCTAGGTAGAGCTGTCAGAAAAAGCACTAAACTTATGCTCTTGCCAGTTACATGAGAATTTAAGTGTCTTTTCAGCACTGCAATTCTGTACGAAAAGGATATTGCTATGGCAACCCTCGCTGTTCGTGACATGTGTGCCACTGTGTCGGAGCGACACACAGCAATTGCAGGCGCGCTCCCAGCCAAATCACGGATGGACAAACAGCTCCCAACAGCCTGGGACAGTGTTTCAGCTCGTGGATTAGCAAATTATTAGCAAATTGTGAGTGCCCCAAAGACAACTCTGTTGGCTTAGCCACAAAAAAAATGTGTGCAATTAAACAGATTGACATGCAGAGAAGGCTTCGAGATGGACATGGTTATTTTAGCTTGAGAGAGGCTTTGGTTTAGTTTGGGAGCAAGTGAAATCAATGCAGCATGAGCAGCGCTCAACACCGGCTGTCCAGTGCTTGTCAAGGACACTTTGAGCAGGTTCTTCTCACAGAGGGATCGATCCCTGATGGGAAGGATTTGGGTTACTGCTCCTGCAAGGCACTGGGCTGTGTTGCTGACAACCATTGACTTTGGCTTTAACTTTGAAGGCACATCCTGATTTTCTGCTCCTGGAGAAGCCAACAAGTGAACGGCAGGCGCCTGGAACAACAAAATACTTTGGAGGCCACAGAGAAGTGAATTCCAGCAAAAACTGCTGAACTGAACATCGCTTACCTGTCAGGTCCAAAGGCATACCATAAGGTCAGCCATGAAGAGGCTGAGGAGTTACCAGGCAGGACAACTGCATCATGGTGGTGGCAGTGGCCCTGGGGAGCAAGGTGCTGCCCACAATAGGCTGTGCCACCCAAGGACTTTGTTGGGGCCTGACACTCAAGAGTCCAGCACTGAGAAGTAATTTCTAACCAGAAGCAATATCAACAGTAGTTTAAAGAATTAAACAGGGTGGGCAACTGAGGAAACTTGCCTTTGGTAGGAAGAATTGGTCCTTGTGCTGTTGGAGCTCGTGTAGGATAAAAGAGAGTTGACAAAGAAAAAGTAATTCTCTTTCATGTTTGATGAGTACCCACAAATATGCCAGTTACTGTTAGCAGACATCCTGTCCTGGCGAAGGTGCTCACAGACACCCCCGGACAAAGGTCACCTGTGAGCATCAGGGTGGGAGGGGAGGAGACCCAGCTACCTGCCCCAGCTCCCAGGTGAGTTACTGCTGAATATTTGGGTACCAGCTGGTGATTTGGAAAGATTTAATACAGAGTATTCAGTGGTTATTGGGAGCTCAGATGTTGGATATAGTGCACTGGTAGGGCTGGACGTTGGTTGCTTTACATGGGAGACTTCCAGTGACTTCGCAAGCTGGGGCCAAGTAAATGGTTTTTTCGGTCCTTCTCCTGTAAGAAATAGGATAGCAAGCACGCAGATCAAGAAAAGGTAGAAAGCATTCCCAAAAATGCTACTCTGGAGGGCTGAAATCTGTTTGACAGACTTGGATATGCAAAGTACCTATCGGCAAACATTTTTTTCCATGGAAAGCATAGGAATATTCTTTCCCAAAAAACAAACTGCATCTTTTTGCCTGC